AATTACAAAAGTTGTCAGGCTCATTGCAAAAAAAGTTGAACAATGCAGATAAGCAACAAAGCAAATGTCAAAAATCAAGTATGATCCCACCATCCAGAGATAATCATTGTTGACACTTCTGTTGTTTTCTTTTAGCCTTTCTCTATGAATCTATATGAACAAATATGTTTTCAGTGGGATTATATCGGGTATACTGTTTTGTATACTGCCTTTTTCCCCCACTTGGCAATATATTCTAAATATTTTGTCATGATATCACATATCTTCAGATCATCATTTTTTAAAACAGACTTTATGTTTTACAGCAGTTTTTAGGTTCACAGAAAAATGGAACAGAAGGTACAGAGATTTCCCATATGCTCCTTGCCCTCACACATGCATAGCCTCCCCCATTATCAACATCCTCCCAGACCACCATTTTTAATAGCTGAATGGGCTTCCATTATCATAATTCTCTTAACCAATCCCTATTTTGAACTTTCACATTATTTCTGGGGATTTTATTCAAAATACGTGGAAAGCAATTAACAGCCAGCAGGCAGGGACCAGCCAATCAGAAAGACCAGCCAGTCAGAGCAGAGCTGGGTTCTGGAAGCCCCAGACTCTGCCAGGCATGAACCTTAGTTTAGTGTTTGAACAGCAAGGAACTCTAGGGATGATCCGAGAGGCAGGCAGTAGAGGGGTACTGAGGGGAGAGCTTCAAGCAGCACTTAGTTATCAATGACAGCAAAAGATTTTCAATAGTCTAACAATCCATGTGGTTATATTGGTGCAAATTTTCTTAATCTCAGAATATTTATCAATATTACAAATAGAACAGCTATGAGCATCTTTATGGAGACATCTTTGCACAGAACGCTGATTATTCCTAGATACACATTTGCTGGGTCAAAAGATGATACATTCATAGGGCTTTTAGTATTGTAGTTCCAAATTGTTTTTCAAAAGTTACCACAATTTATACTTCTACCAAGCTTATAATCTTTTTTACCAACTTTACCGTTAAAACCTGTGTGCTGTGGGGTAGATATTTTGCATCTCAGTTCCTCTCAACCCAGCAAATCTACTTATAGATGTGTCTCCAAGAAAAATACTCTTGTATGTGCAAAAAGAGGTGCATACATGGTCATTCATTGTAGCATTGTTTATAATAATAATTGTTTATAATAAAAACCCTGCAAAGTTGAAAACAAAATAAATATTCGGGAATGGATAGTTTAAATGCTTTATGGTAATCCATATTATGAAATATTATACAATGATTAAAAAGAATGAAGAAGATGTGTAAGACTGACATGGAAAGTTCTAAGACATATTGAGAAAGAAAAGCAAGTTGTAAGACAGAATATGCAGTATGATCACAGTATATTACATAAAAAAAGGATTTGAATGTGTAAAGTAATGTATATATAAAGACATAACTGTCTGCAAAGAATACACATCAAAATATTGACACCTCTGGGGAAAGAAGTGGGATTATAGGGCAAGTGAAAGGTTTTCTCATTTTTTCAGTCTGTATGTTTTTACAGTGTTTGAATTCTTATCGTGATAAAATGTTCTCATTGTGTGATTTTTTTTTTTGATGAGGAAGAGTGGCCCTGAGCTAATATCTGTGCCAATCTTCCTCTATTTTGTATGTGGGACACCACCACAGCATGGTTTGATGAGTGGTATAGGTCCGCAGCTGGGATCTGAACCCGCAAACCCAGGCCACCAAAGCAGAGTGTGCCAAACTTCACTACTACGCCACCAGGCTGGCCCCCTCACTGTGTGATTTTTTAATGATATTCTTTAAAATGAAAGGGTTAAATTCAGTCATTTTCTTTTGTCTTTTCTTTTTTCTAGTAGAAGAAACCTTCCCTTGCCCCAAACTTTTAAATGAAATTCCAATATATATGAAAACTGAGATTAGTGCTGGTCTAACTACAAACCAGCTTCAAGGGCCTGAGGTCTGGGCAGTCACATGATCCCCACACTTGATTTAACGCTCTGCTGCTGCTATCTTGAAATTCTTAATAATTTTTTAATAAGGGGCCCTGCATTTTCACTCTGCACTGGGCCTCGCAAATTATATAGCTGGTCATGACTGTAGAATAGACATTCTCTGAGTTCCAGTCTTTTGTGAGCTTTCAAAGTATCAGAACCACCTGCTAGCCAACCAGGGGATGAAGATTTGGAAGTCAGCCTCCTGAGTGTTCTAAGCAGCCCTCAGCATCCAGGTCCTTGAAATCAGAGCTTCAAATGACTGAGGATTTCAGGCGATGTATGGGCTCAAGTCTTCGCACTCAAAAGCATGTCAATGCTAGGTACATCTATAGCACTTTTATCGCACAGCATTTCTTTCCGAATGTCTTCCAGATTTCTGTAGAATGTCCCTAAGAGTGCAGGGTAAGTCAAAATTTGCATAGGACATAATAAATTAAAACTTTTTAACCAGAACTTTGGGTTAAAAATGAAACACAGTATCTTCTTATGATCTCACCTTGGAGGAGGTAGGATGGCTGATGTTTCAGGTAGAGGAAGAGAAAGAATGTATGAAAATCTGTATTCAATCTCTTTTTTTTTTTTGCACCAGCGGAAAAATAAAATTTTCTTTTCGTGGCTTGCTTACTTGGGGCTTTCACAATGATTCCATTTTTTTCATCTTCTGTCAGATGAATTGTTCAATGTCTGAGAGAAGGTTTTGTGCACAGAAAAGACTAATTACATCTCTGTCTTGCAAAAGGAAATGAAATGAGTCTCAGGGGCTTGTCTTGGAAAACCCACACCAGTGCCCAGAAACCACTGCTTCCCTTTTTAATGGCTTAGAAACCATGCATTCCTTTCTAAAACCCTGCCTGAAATTGTTATGATCCGATAGCATGGCTTGGGTCATGTCATGCTCTGACACAGGAATCCTCACTAACTCCCCATTGCCAGCGGGCTTGTCTGCCTTCCTGCCTTTCTTCCTTTCTTTCTTCCTTTCTGAAATCTGTACTGTACAGAAAGTCACAAAAATGTCCACCACTCCAAAACAGCCACTTTTAACTTTTGGGTGAACGTCCTGTAAATTTTCTTTCTATGTAGTGAAAAAATATAGATATGGCTATAAACATGTATTTACATAAATGTCTTTCACCATTGCCTTCTCTTCTATTTAATTGGTTAAAACAGCAATTAAATTACAATTGAATAAAATACAATGAAATTTGTCAGAAAAACTATCTCCTCATAAAATTCTGTTTAAGTTCGAACTCCCTACTTTGGCATTTAAGACAGTTCCTGTTCCCCGGAAAACTTTCTTCCCTAGTCTTCATTTATCTGAACAATATTTGATTCAAGTCACACTTACTGTGTGAAGCTCTTTATAAGCATTAGAAAAGCCGCCCTACCCCGATGTAGGTGTCCTTCAATAATCCATTGTCTCTGCAACCTTACAGCACTTACTATATAAACCACTCAGCTTTGCCATTCAACACATACTGACTGTTGTTGTTAATTCATCTTTTTCTAAATTGAAGGCAAAGACTGTCTTGGACATCCTTTTATCCCCTGCCTTATTTAGCACAGTGCCCTAGATTTAATAAGCAGCTGATGAATATTTGATAATAGAGATGAGGATGCTATTACCACCACATAAGGGGACCTCACATTGACGTTTTATTCCTAAATATCTGTGAAGCCGTAGGCACTACTTTCCCGACTCTTTCTCATTCTACGTGCTCTCTAACAATTTCTATAGTTCCAACTCTGACATCATTCTTGTTTAGAGTCTGATGGGAGAGTTTCTGATTCCAAGATCATTCCTTAATATCACAGGACACGACACACTTTTCCTCCCTCTCGCTCTTTCCCTCTTTTTCTTTCTTTCAACTCAATATCCTGAAAAACAGTGACTGGATCATTTTATTAAAGGGCTGGAAACCAGGGGTTTCCCAGATGTGGAATGAATAATTTCCCCTTAGCCTGGTGGTGAAGGCCTTCACCGCCTGAGTCTTCATGTAGTCTATATCCCAGGCCATCACTTCTCACTTTTAGTGCCTACTGTGTTCCAGGGACTGTACCAGGGTCTTTATACACAATTATTCCACTTCCTACTCACGATCAGTCTGCAAGGTAGATGTTCCCAAATTTTGTTGGTGAGAAAAGGAAAGCTCGGAGACATGAAGTGACTTGCAGATATCTCTCTGTCTTGGCAAAGTTAAAAAGAGGCCCATTCAAAGCAGATTCGCTGTCCTAACTATGGCTTCACAGTGGTGTTAGAGAGTAAATTAAAATATTACAAACCCCTCCAAGGAAAGGCACTTATTAAAATGTTCCGATTCCTTTGAGAACATAAATAGATACATATTTACTCCTCTAGGTTTTTTTTTTTTTTAAAGATTTTATTTATTTATTTTTTCCCCCCAAAGCCCCAGTAGATAGTTGTACGTCATAGCTGCACATCCTTCTAGTTGCTGTATGTGGGACACGGCCTCAGCATGGCTGGAGAAGCGGTGCGTCAGTGCGGGCCTGGGATCCGAACCCAGGCCGCCAGCAGCGGAGCGCACGCACTTAACCGCTAAGCCACGGGGCTAGCCCTTACTCCTCTAGGTTTAATTCCTGAAATCTCTGGGCCCTCAGTGAAGCCTTTTGCTAACATATTCAGGGCTTAGGGTTTTCACAGGGATCCAACGTTCTTCTTCATACCAAGTGCCACATCTTAGGATTCACTGGACTAGGGGTGGCCTGGTGACAGGCAGGTAGGACAAGTTGGGACCACAACCAGAATGACCCACTGGGGTGGGGCAAAGGCTGGGGAGTTAGATCCAGCTGCAGGCCTGGCGAGGAGTCTGTCTCTGAGCACCTAGAGATTATGGCACTGGAAGAGAACAGGTGGTTCAGGAAAACTGTCAAGGTACAAAATCCAGGATGCAACAATGAGGATGCCCCATGACTGTGGTTGCTGCTGTTTACGAGAGCTTCTTGTGCACTTGGAACTTCACTTACGTTATCTATAATCTTAAAAAATGTTTCCAAAAATGGGGTCCATGAAACACAGTGCTATGAGCATAGAAAACGCTCTGGGGTCAAATAAGCGTGAGAACAAAGGTACTATTTCCACCCCACCAAAGAAATTAGATTACTAAAGGCTTTAAAAATACAAAAATAAGCAAAAAGTCCTTGAAATCAAGAAGCCATATTGAAAGCATTTAAGATAAGAATACATAAAGAGCAATAGAGATGGCAACTATAGTCTCTGAAATTTTGAGAAATTTTTGTTAAAAGGAAAGAAATAAGATGGTAGCTCAAAGACACAGAGTGAAGGGCTTTCTTTTACAAGATAGGAAGCAGGACCAGGTTTGCACACAGAGGCAAAGCGACAGTGCAAAGGCAGAGCTTGAAGATGTAAGGAATATACTTATATGTCTGTTTCCTCCAAGATATTGTGAGCTCCTTAGAGGAATGCTGGAAGACGCACTCAAAAAGAGTTTTCGAAATTGCAAGAGACTTGATAATTAACAGACTATGATCCCCAAGAATGAACAAGGATCTGAACCAAGGGAGCCTGAGGAAGGAGAGTGGAAAGTACTTTCTCTCGACCTCCAAGGGGAGTGGGAGAGGATGAGAAGAACACAGGGGTATTCTGAATGGAGTAGAGGCTACACAAAGGAGCTGTTTGGCAGTGGAGAGAGGACCCACATCAGGTGGCCTCCATCAGTGTGGCAATGCCGGATGCTGGGTCTCTGCTCGCAGAGGGGGCTGGCAGAGCGGGAAAGGAACCAAGCAAGACAGAAAACAACTGTTGGGGCCCATATGTTTGGGAGGCAACAAGAGATGCATAAAGTTTTGCCGAGTAGCAGTGAGAACCCAGCGGGAAGAATGGTGTATACAGTGGTGCTTCAGGGCATGGTCCCTGGGGCCAGACTAACCACATTTGAGTTTGAATCCCAGATCCCTCTTTTTTCCAAAAGGTGGTGAGAATTAAATCAGGTAATAAATGTAAAACACTTAGAAGAGTGCCTGGCACATTATTAAGCACTCAATAGGTGTTAACTATCATTCTTTTTAAATTGTGGTGGAACCACTCATAAGAATCTTATGACTTTTCTTAAAGAAACATGAGGTCACCTGGGACAACCAAATGTAGGAGCATAGTCATGATATGAGGCAGAAACCCAAGGCTGAAGATTGGCCAGAAGGCATTATGGGAGGTGACGAGGTGAAGGCGTCTGAGTTGCGAACTAGGAAGGGAGTATAGAAAAGCCCAGAAGGAGAAAGGGGAGATATCTGAGCTTGAGCTTTTAGCTGAGGAAATGCTCAGGATGATGACATAACCTAAAATGTCGCCATAAAAATCATGGCTCCCAGAATATGTGTTCATTCCATTCCTTTGACAAAATTTTTTCAGCACCTCCTGTGTGCCAGCCATTCTTCTGGCGCTGGGGCTACGGCAGTCAATAAAACACACAAACAGCCGTCTCCTCGTGGAGCCTACATTCTAGCAGGAGCACTAGTAATTGTCCAGCTCAACTTAGACTCCTTCCTCACATTATTAATCTTCTCAATGAACCAGTTAGGTAGGTATTATAATACCCATTTTTCAGACAAAGAAATTAAATTTTGCCCCAAACCAAATAACTAATAAATGGCAAAACCAGGTTTCAAACACAGATCTAATTCTAAAGTTCATGCTTACAAAAACTGTTCTATATCTCATCTCTGTGCTGCTGAATAATTTTGGCAGGTGAAGAGGAAAGCCTTAAGAGTTGAGGAGCTTAGGGGCTGGCCCAGTCGTGTAGTGCTTGTAGTTAAGTTCACAGGCTCTGCTTTGGTGGCCCAGAGTTTGCAGGTTCGGATCCCGGGCATGGACTTACACACCACTCATTAAGCCATGCTGTGGTGGCATGCCACGTACAAAATAGAGGAGGATTGGCACAGATGTTAGCTCAGGGCCAATCTTCCTCACCAAAAAGAAAAAAGAAAAAAAAAGAGTTGAGGAGCTTAGAAACTGTAAAGTCAGAATGTTAGGCCCCTCCCATGTGTGCTGAGTTCCCCAAGAATGATGGGAGAAGATGAGGTACAGACAGAAATGTGAACTTGGCACTGAAGGCCTGGGAGAAGTGAAAGTGTGTTGTGGAGAGTGGTAAGAGGAAGTGTGGACTTCAAAGGTGAATAGATGACAGAGACATGGAGGGAGTGGTCCTGGTTTGCACGAAGATCAACTGCTTCCTCGCTCCTGCTGAGTAGGGAGGGAGTGGGAGAAGTTGTCTCTGCCATTGTAGAAGATCTTTGAGTTTCCTTGAGAAAGCCAGATGCTTTGTTCAGGCAAGGAGATGAAAGGGGCAGGCATGGCAGAAGCAGCTGAAGTTAGTAGAGCATCCCAGAACATCCTGTCAGAGGCCAGTAGACAGATGGACAGAGGGCTGTGGCAGGAGAAAGATTTAGTTTCCAAAGAGTTGGCAAGAGAAGCAAGGAAGTTGGGAGACAGGCTGGAGCTGTCAGTTAGGAGAAGGGCAGGGTACCTGGAATCTTGTGAGAGGGGGTTGAAGGGTTGCATGTGCCAAGTTCCAAGTGGAATGTCAGAGAGGGCAAGTCCAACTGCAAACGTACGTGCCTAGGTGTGTACCACCCATCAACAGCCTCCTCTCTGCCTTTTGTGCTGGGGAAAGGAGGCTCTGGCATCACCAGAATAAGGGATGCTTGACTGTTGCTAGTCCACCCCGTTGAATTCAGAGGTATTTGTGATTACCAAATTGGGAGAAGCAAGGATATCAGCAGGTATATACTATTTCACAGCCATACCATCTCATCATAACATTGCCAGGAGCTTATGGTGACATAAAATCCTTGATTACTGGAACCAAGCTCCTGTAAATTTCTGAGATCCCACTTTGTCCAGCTAGCATGTGCTGAAAAGGGTAATCTGGATGGTCTTGCCTGGAGAAAATTCCCCCCAAATCTAAGTTAGAGATTTCATCGGCTGTCTTTTAAAATAGTTGATTTGTTCCTTTTGACTAATGCTTCTCCAAATTTGTAATTTTAAAGGTTTTGATGAGGGATTCATTCTAGTTGTACCACACAGTCCTAGGGGCCAATGGCGTAAATATACAGGAATGAAGAGATAGGCTGTAGGGAGGAGAGGCAGGATTCTAGTTTATAAGATCTAGAGTGAGAGTACTTCCAAACTTTAATGTGTATATAAATTGCCTGGGATCTTGTGAAAATGCAGATGCTGATTCTAAGGTGAGTCTAGGTATAGGGTGGGACCTCAGTTTCTGTATGTTTAGCAGGCTCTGAGGTGATGCTGTTGCTGCTGGTCTGCAGACCGTACTTTGAGTAGCAGGGACCTACGCTACATAACTAGCCAAAAGTTAGCTTCAAAAGATGGCTTGTTTTTAAGGTAAGAAGGCTATTAGCCAATCCCTTAAAACATATTCAGCATCAAATTTGTGTGTACTAGTTAAGATGAGTACAAAACTTGTAGCCAGAATTTGCAGGTTTAAATTCTGATTCTACCATTTTCTAGCAATAAAACTTTGGGCAAATCATAGATCATCTCTGAGTCTCAGTTTCTGCACCTAAAAAGGTAGCGGTAATAAGATCTGCTGGAGTTGAGTGACCACACAGGATGGATCTGAGGATCAAATGAAACAACTTAGTGAGAGTGCTTTGTAAACAGAAAATGCTGCCCATGGGTGTGCATTATTATTATTATACTGTGCTATGCAAAGCTAAGAAAATCTTCCTCGTTGCTCCCATTTCCAGTTTTTATTTTAATAAATAGGTAGATAACATTGCCAAGCATTTGCTATTTATCTGACACTGTGTTAAGCACAGTAAGAATTATTTTGTTTACTCTTCACAACTCTAATAGCATTAGTAGTACTAACGTTAGCCCCATTCTACAGATGAGGAAAGTAAGACCTAGAACATTAAGACTATGCCCAGCTGCTAAGTGTTGATTCTCTGGTAAGAACTCAGCCTGACTCTCCAAAACTCAAGCTCTTGTTCACTGTATTCAGTTGATTCATTGTAGCATACATCCAGCATCATAGAGGAAGGTGATGGTCTAGAACAGTGTTTGGCAAACATTTTCTGTAAAGAGCAAGATAGCAAATATTTTAGGCTTTGCATGCCAAATTTAGGTCTCTCTTGCAACCATTCAGCTCTGTCATTACAGCACAAAAGCAGTCATAGATAATACATAAAGGAATGGGTATGACTGTTTCACTAAAATGTTATTTACATAAACAGGTGGCAGGCTGGATTTGACCTTCTGAGTCTAGTTTGCTGGTGCTTGGTCTAGAAAATTCCGCGTTGTCCAACATGGTAGCCACTGGCCACATGTGGCTATTTACATCTAAATTTACTTAAATTAAATTAAAACTTTAATTCCTCAGTTGTATTAGCTACATTTCAAGTGTTCAATAGACACATGTGGTTAGCTCATACGTATGGAACAGTACAGAGAACATTTCCATCATCACGTTAAATTTTAGTGGAGATTCCTGGTCTAGATCATCTCTGGGGGTGGAGGAGAAATCCCTTACAAGTAGCTGTGAGGACATGGAAGTTCTGAGCCCTGGCTTTGCTGGTTAACCAGCTATATGACTCTAAGCAAATCACCCCACCTCCCAGAGCCTCAGTTAATGTATACATAAAATGGGGATAATACTTTCCTCACCATGTTATTGTGGGAACTGAATAAGAAAATATGTGAAAAGCACTTTGTAATCTATTAGGAGTTGCACAAACATAACCCGTCATTATGATTCTAATTGTTATTTGAAATGTGAAAAAAATGTATGGATGCAGAATTTGTGTAGGCTGAATTGAGAGAAACAGATTTCCTTTTAAATCACCCAGTGGGCGCCATTCGGATGTCAGAGAGTTACCAAAATAAGGAAATCTTGTTATTTGTACAGTATTCTAACTTTTGGACAGGAAAGAGACACTAAACCAGGCAGAGCTCAGCAGTCATTCGTCTTTCCGAGCTTGGAATTGCCTTAGTAATGCTTAACACCTTCAGGAAACAGATGAAACAAGACAAAACCTGTGGTGAAATCAGGCAGGTCACAGCGTCCTTCCTGAAAGAGATCAAAGGTTTATTCTTCTTTGTCACTTTCAAAGTTATGAAGGATGGTGTTATCTCACATCAAAGGTTCTAGCCCTTTCCTGTTGATTCTCCTTTACAGGGGCCCCTTTGCACCACATCCACTGTGGACCCCCACACAGGTCAAGGACAAAGCTCGTTTTTGTCACAGAGTTATAGATCAGGCCCTTGGTGGCCCAGATGCGTCCAATATCTCTGTGGTTCCCAGCACCTCTCTCCTTCCTCCTCCTGTTCCTAATCCCAGACATAAATCACCCTTCTAGGAAAATCCCTGCTATCACTTCGCTTCCCATCAGTCTACAGTCCCCTCTGTCCCTCAGGATCCTGGGGGTCAGGCCACCCTCCAGCTCTAGGCCAATTTATTACTATTACTCATTTGAGTATACAGAGGAGAAAGTTTCTTCCTGTTTGGTGCTGGGTACATCCCTTCTGATTTCTGCCAGTAATGAGGAGCTATGTTTTGTAGGGATCCTGTCATACAGCTTTTCATAGGAGCTTCCTAGAACCTGCCTCACACCTCTCTACCTTCTTTCCTATTTCCTTTCACTTTTATTTTTCTCACTTAAGTACTCTAACAATTCACTTCTCTGCTCTACAGCTAACACTTGCCTATCAGGCTGGAATGAAGGTTCCCATTCTCATACACGGTTGCCGGTGGTGTGTATTGGTTGAATCTTTAAGAAAGTAATTTGGGAATATTTTTCTAAATCCTTAAAAATCTGTATTCCACTTCTAGGGAAGTATCCTAAGTAAATAATAGAGATGCACTGAAAATTACTAAGCAAGAACAATCATTATTGTATTATTTATAATAGTGAAAAACTAGAAATAACCTAATTGTCAACAATAGGAAAAGAATAAAACAAACATCAAATCTAGAAATGGAAAGAAATATACCAAAATATTAACAGTGAGTTTTGTCTGGATATCTCTGGTTATCTCTAGAGTACCAATGATTTTTATTTTCTTCTTTCTCTTTTTCTATTTTTTTACAATGTGCATATATATAATCATAAACAGGTTATAAAAACGACGGTTCCCATCACCCTAGCCTAGCTATTTTATATTGCTCTATAATAATCCCATTTAAAGATTTAAAATACACATTTACAGGCTCAGACAACTCTAATGTTAACCAGAGATGTCTTTGGGGACAGCCATACACAAGACCTTCCTGTATATATTTGAGCAGAGAAACCCAAAAGCTTACTGTGGGGTCCCTTACAATGGAAGGCCCATTTTGGAAGGAAACGGGTTAAGGCCAAACACCCTGAAAGCAGCCTGCTGTCTGCAGATCAGCAAAGGGAATGTAATTGCCAATCCTGCCATGAAACTCCTCTTGTCATCATTGTCCCTGAGGTGCTGAAGAAATGGCTTTCATGGAGCTAAGTGACAAGATGTCTCTGCAGATGGAAACAATTGGGAAAGAACAAGAGCTGACCAAGAAAAACAATGGTTTCCTCCAAAATATCGATGCAGCTGAAGGTGCAATGCAGAAGTAAGTCAGGGCTGAGCTCCCAGGACCAGTTTCTGGGGTTCTGTCTAGAGACTTCCTTTGGCCAGTAAGATGCAAATGATGAGATTTCCAAGTTCAAGATTGGGGTTGACATTCTTCTCCACAATTCTTCTAATTTTGACCTCATGAATATTTATTGTGGTAGGTCCTGTGAGACAGTAAAGGGTCCTATGATCATAAACTAAGCAGACACCAGTTGAATAGAAATGGCCAAGACTCTAGTCCCAATTTACGAAAATACGTTGTTTTGTGCCTTCATTATCTTCACCTGCTAAAGATATAAACCATTTAAAATACTTTCTAGAGTAGAGGAAGTACAAATATTCATATAAATACATATACGCATTTGTTAACCAATGATAAAAATGTGTACTAGTGTAAACCAATGGTTAAGAACCTTTTTAGGGTCAGCCCCAGTGGCCTAGTGGTTAAGTTCAGCACGCTCCACTTCAGCGGGCCAGGTTTGGTTCCCAGGTGTGGACCTACACCACTCTGTTAGTGGCCATGCTGTGCTGGTGGCTCACATATTAAAAAATAGAGGAAGATTGGCATGGATGTTAGCTCAGGGTGAATCTTCCTCAGCAAAAAAGAAAAAAAAGAAGAACCTTTTTAAACAGGAAGAACTTTTTTAAAGTAAAAGATTTTCCAGAACCCCTTGTTTGTCAGCAAGCTGATTATGATATCAAAGATGTTTTTAAATGCATTTATAATTTATTAGTAACAGCAGCATATACATTTGTAAACTTAGCAGTATTTATCCATGTAAGCATTATTTATTCAATCTGTAGAAATGTGTATAGATTCCAGGACCCCTTTCTATTTAGGGAAGGTGCAGACTACTCCCCACCTCAGAGTTCAAGGCCCACAGAATGAAAACTACTGCCATAGACCTCCATCATAAATTTATTGTGATTCATTCAAAAGTATACGTGAGTGTGTGTACATATATACGTATATACGCACTCCAGCAAAATAACGATAGTCCAATAGGGAATGGGCAAAGGATATCATCACAATTATCATAGAAAAGGAAATACAGATGAGTTTTATACATATAGGCAGAGATGCTCAACCTCACTCATAAAAAGAGATTAAAACAAACAAGCAAAAAAAAAAAAAACTAAAATGAGATACCAATTTAAGCATACCAGGATCGGCAAAGATTAAAAACTTGAATATTACACGGTTGTAGAAAAGGAGTGAAAAACAGGCACTCGCACCACTCTTTGCTGGGAGTGTAAATAGATCCAACCTCTTTAAAGCATAATTTGGTAAAATCTATCAAAATCTAAAATATATGTATGTATTGACCCAGCAATTCTATTTTTAGGGTTATCCAATGGATATACTTGTACATAAACATATCAATACATAGGGCTAGTCATTACAGCATTATTTGGTAGAAATTGATTGGAAACGGTCTACATATCCATTAATAAAGAACTGATTAGCAAGTTATTATACAGCCGCACGGTGGAATACCATATAACCAATGAGTCAGCTCTCTATGTACTAATATGAAATGGACTCCAAAATACGTTGTCAAAAAAGAAATATAAGGCACAGACTAGTGTGTATAATATACTGTCATTTATATTTTAAAAGGCACACATATATTTTTATAAACATAGCTTCTTATTTATACATAGAATGTGGAAGAATAAAGAAGAAATTAGTAAATGTTGGGAGAAGGACATCTGGGGGCTAGAGATCAAGATGGCACCATTGACTTACTCCTTTTTGCACAGTCTTTTGCACCATATGACACTTTTTAACTCTGCTTTTTAAAAAAGGATGTTTATTATTTGTTTATGTCACACACACATTTGCACACACACACAGCTGCACAGCTGCAATGGCTTTGGTACTTGGAATCTCACTGTTAAATCATTTATTGATTCAGTCAACAAATATTTTTTCAGCCTCTCTATTCCTATTTTGCGCAGTATACTATGCTAGGCGTTATTCCCGCAGAATGAAATCAGTACAGGGATAGCACGTGCTTCTTGGGGCCGGGAAAGATCCCAGTGTTCTCCCTCTAGAAATGCTTAGGGCAGGCCTCAACTATAGACATAAGGTGTTATAACAGCACCTGTTTTGATTGTGTGGCTTGCAGTTTGCTAAGGGAATTTACCAAAATGGACCACATCTTGGACAGATCAGATGATGAGGACGACATTTTCTCTGAAAACCCCCAAACTGAATTCCTTCACGAGGTGGAGACTAAAAAATGGGTAAGAGAGAGACTTAAATGTCACAGTGAGTGAAGAGAGGAACTTCATATCTCACATCTCAAAGTGGTAAGGAAATTTCTGAGGTGTCCTCATAACACTGCAGGACATTCGGAGCTTGAAACCAGGAGGGAGGTCTTGTCTCCTCTGTGGGCTGCTGTTATCACATGAGGGACTTCCCATTCAAAAAAAATTGTGCATTATATGTTACTTTTGTCCTTGGGATTTGTGAAGTAACTGTGACATTTTTCACCTTAGAGCAGATTACCATATGTAAAATCGCCCCTTGCACGCAGATTGTCTTCCAATAGAATGCATCAGAGAGATCTATTTATTCTTAATTCAGACTGGACCTCTCTCAGTCTTTGACATTCAGTCACTCAGCGGACATGGAATGGAGGAAATTTTGACAAATGCCTGAGATAGTCCTGGAAAGAGTTTATGCTTTCACTGCCATTTAGATCAAAGGAAAGGCATGGCCCAGGCCCCCTCTGCTATCGATGAGAAAATCTCTCCATAGATTCCCCGGGCTATTGGCTACAGAGGTGAGTGGTTTCAACCAGTCAGAAAAACCCAAGGGAAGGATGGAGTGAGAACTTCTCACTCCCAGGCCTACACAGCCCCCAGTAGAAGCTCAGGATGCATCTCTTTGTCTACTTCTCTTTTGAATATATTTTGGATTTGGGGATGGCTAACTCAGCAAATCCATAGAAGGAAAGGTCCCAAAAGAATATCCTAAGCTGGACTTTACCTTCAAGGACTCTGCAGTAAGTAAACAAAGAAATAAAAGGAGATGGAAGGCGTGAGGGGATAGAGTGAGAGGTGTGGAGAATAGATAATAATGAGACAGACAAAAAGTGGAAGGAGAGACAGACACTTTTTATGGAAAAAAAAAGAATAACAGGAATTGAATTAAAAGGGGAGTCTTAGGATGGAGTTTTTAGGCTGAGGAAAGGAAAAGAAAACAGGGAAAATGAAGTGTGAGGGGCTATGATCTTAGGAAACACGTGAATTGAAGGTATTACTCTACAGATAGTATCATCTGATTCTTTGGAGGGGAGTGTCCCGTCCCTGGACTCCAGGCAAGACTGCCACCACCGGACCCACTTTGCCGGGACACTGTCCCTGCATTTGCGGTTCAATGTGCCCTGTTGAATCCTGTTAGTCAGTGAACTGTGATACCATCACTTGTTGATCCAGGACAGAATAAGTCTAATTAGAGAATAAAATGACTCACTCCATAAGAGTTTGTCAAATAGTCCACTCTCTCAGGGTATAAGGCATATAGACTATTTCTTACAAACTTCCAGTCAGAGCACAAGGTTTAACAAAATATTTTTTTAAATTTATGATTGTATTTCTTTATATTAATTTATTTATATGGAAAATTCTATAATTACATAAAAATAAATCACATGCAGTTACATAATTAACAAATAAGTACTAATAAATTTGACTGCTGATAAAGTGATAAATATACGACTTCTTGTGGAAGAAACATTTTTCTATTATTCTCTGAAAGGAAACCAGAAGGCCTCTACTTTGCATAATCTTAAATTTATCTTCTTATAGGAGAAGATCATAATATTTAAAGGACAGGTTCAGAAAATGGACAAAGAGTTAATAGGAGTTAAAAAAATATCAGTTGTTGGTTTAATTAACAAAATAGCGCTACCATATCTAACCATCAAAGCCCGCCCCCCCAACATTTAGAAACGAATATTTTGCTCTGATTCACATTTTCTGATCCCTGCTATATACAGTGTTGATTTCAGATGTCAGGTGAGTGAACAGACTTTCCTATTTCCTGCTTTTGTTTGCATTTCTCACAAGCAGAATGTGTGTACCTACTTCTGAAGTCTATTCTAAAACCACTTATTGAGCATCCACTGTGTGCTAGGCGCTGCATAGTGCTAGGAATACATATACATAAAATCCTTTCCCCTCAATGAGTTCACACACTAGGAGGGACTCAAACAAGGCAATGGCTATGTATGATAAAATCCATGCTAGAAGTAGCAAATGTGCCACGAAGCACAGGGGAAGGCTGTCCGGGGAGACCACTGGGAATGTGGCAACTAATATAAGATAAAAGAGTTTGAAGGATAAACTGTATAGGAGAAAGGCATTTCAGAAAGAAGGTACAGCACATGCAAAGACAACAAGGCCAAAGAGAAACTGTATTCTGAGAAAGGAAGAGGGAGAGAAAAGACATGACAGGTAAGCAGGCAGGCAGGACCCGGTGGGGTGGAGGTAAAGCAGAATGCAGGCTGGAACCTAGGATGTCAGTGGGAGTCGAGAACTGATGAGGAATGAAGTAAGGTACTGGCTGGCAGCAGGGATGCCATGAAGATCGGGTAAAAAGGGAGACAGATTTAAAAGATAGGTATTATTAGGCTTGGACACCAAGTGGATGTGACGTGGGTAATAAAGAGGGAAAGGAATGTCTCTTGTGGAAACTTCTTCCAGGGTTCGGGTAGAAGCATCTGGATGGATAGGGGGACCATATGCAAGGATGGGGAATCTGGACAAGATAGAGGGGAAATATGATGAATTCAGTTTTTTACTTGCTGAGTTTGAGGTGCCTATGGAACATCCAAATGGGGACACATGAGCTCTTCAAAGAGCTACATGTAAATGGAAAGTAATGCCCTTAGACTGTGTATTTCATGCAAGGACACTTTTAGTTTGTGTTTAAAAATATATATACACACAACTCTTTATGTGCTCAATCCTGCAGATTTAAAAAAAAACCTTTTATTTCTAATTCCTGCCTTTTGACTCTGGCAGTAAATTAACCATTACAGTGAATTGATTGATGAAACAAGAAATGTCATCATAGATGATTGGAAATAGCATTCTAGAGATGATCTGGCCCAATTTTCTTACTACAGAACAGGAAACTGAGGTTCAGAGTGATTAGGTGGCTTGTTCAACACCCACAACAGTAGACAAGGCTTACAACTCAGGTCTTCCGATTCCAAATGCAGTGTTCCTTCTCTGTATCACAGCATATGTGTACATTTCTGCTGCTTCTGAACATACTGGCAAAAGATTCAGTGGGAAGAAATTGAAAATGTGGTTGCTTTTTTATTCATGAAGAGGTTGCTAAGATATAGTAGAGTCATACAATACTTGGAAAATCTAGCCTTGGTTTCTTCATCTGTAAATATGATAATAATCCTTACATCACTGGTGAGGTGCCACTGGGTTGTGAAAGTGACAGTGGTAGAGGCTAGATATTTCTTAATCTGAACCCAAGGCCTAGGTATGATTAAAAGAGCCATGGTCTTGGAATCGGAAAACCTAGTTACAGTTCTAGTCCTTACACTTACTAACCATATTCATTGGTTTCCCATGGCTGCTGCGACAAATTATCACAAAATTGGTGGCTTAAAACAATAAAAATTGTATTCTCTCCATAATTCTGGAAGCCAGAATTCTGAAATCAAGGGGTTAGTAGGACTATGCTCCCTCTGAAGGCTCTGGGGGAGAATCCCTCTTTGCCTCTTCCAACTTTTAGCGTCTCCAGGCATTCCTTGGCTTGTGGCTGCATAACTACGATCAATGCCTCTGTCTTCACATGACCTTCTTTGTGTCTGTCGTCTCCTCTTCTGTCTCTCATTAGGACCCTTGTCATTAGAGTAGAGCCTACCCAGGTAACCCAAGATAATCTCATTTCAAGATCCTTGACTTAATTATACCTGCAAAGATTCTTTTTCCAAATAAGTTCACATTCACAGGGTCCTAGTATTAGGATACGGATATATCCTTTTAGGGTGACCACTTAACCCACTATGCCATACGGTCTTGAGCAAATCACTAAATATGAATGGCCTAGGGGATTTCAATACCTACCTTTATCCATCTTATCTCTCATGAGAATTAAAAGAAATAATGCACACAAAAGAAACTTTTTTAGAGAGTTATGTGAATGTTAGTTGTTCCTATTGCCTTGGCCAGTAATTTATAAAGACATTTCAGTAAGAGAGTGATCTATTCTCCCTACTCCAGGTTTTTCTCCTTCCAGTTTAAAAATAGTTTTGCTGAAAGACAAGAATTTCAGACCAAACTACTTCAAAGGACAGAAGAAATATTTCACAATGTACTCACTAAAGAAGAGAATGTTGAAAGATAAATTATTGTCAATTGTGTGCATGTGTAGAATTGAAATACCAGAAAACACCTTGAATGTTTGTCTAAAACAAGGCAAAGAATAAAGAAACAAAGAAATAAATTTTGTGAGTCAAACTGATAGAGTAGGCTTTTCCTCAAAACTCTTCTTCTTTTTTTTTTTTTTTGCTGAGGAAGATTAGCCCTGAGCTAACATCAGTGCCAATCTTCCTCCACTTTATATGTGGGTTGCTGCCACAGCATGGCTGATAAGTGGTGTATGTCTGTGCCCAGGATCCGAACCCGTGAACCTGGGCCACTGAAGCAGAGAACACCAAACTTAACCGTTATGCCACAGGGCTGGCATTCCCCCCCAAACCTTTTATTAGGAAAAAATTTAAGTTAAAAAAATACTTAAAAGAATTATACAATGATCATGAGGCCAGCCTGGTGGCATAGTGGTTAAGGGCCTGTGCTCCGAGGCCTGGGGTTCGGATCCCAGGCACGCACCGATGCACCGCTTGCCAAGCCATGCTGTGGTGGCGTCCCATATAAAGTGGAGGAAGATGGGCATGCATGTTAGCCTAGGGCCAGTCTTCCTCAGCAAAAAGAGGAGGATTGGCAACAGATTTAGCTCAGGGCTAATCTTCCTCACCAAAAAAAAAAAGAAAGAAAGAATTATACAATGATCAATCATATCCTCACACCTAGACTTTAAAATTGTTACCATTTATCACTTTTACTTTATCTTTATATATGTATATCTATAGAATTTTCTGAGCCATTTAAAAATAGGTCAAAGACAGCATGACACTTCATCCCTGTTTGCTTCAGAGAGCCTATTTAAAAATAAAGACTTTCTTCTACACAGCCAAAATATCATTATCACGTTAGGAAAAGTAGCAATAATTCTATAATACAATCTAATATCCTCAATTCTCTCAATATTTGAATTTTCTCGATTGTCCCCCACACGTCTTTTATACCCATATTTTTTTTAACCAGCATCCAAACAAGATCTCAGCAATGCGTTCAGTTGTTATGCTTTAGACTCTCTTAATATAGAACAGTCACCTTTTTCTTTTCCTTGACGTTGATTGTTTTGAAGAGACTAGTCAGTCATCTTGTTTGAATGGAGTGCTCGAGTCCACGGCCAGGTGGAATTCTTTTACTCATCAGCCCTGAAAAGAGGTCTGCCTATGGACCCTGATGTTCCACACATCCCTGCCCCAGCCTTCCTCTCTCAACGGAGCAAAAGGGCGTGTCTGCTTATCCTACAAATGCATTAGAATGCTCCAGCCTCAGAGAGGGCTATGTGCTTGCCCCCAGAGAAAGTGGCATCGGTAGGTTAGAGGGACCACCACCTCTTCTCACAACCCCTTTGTTCTGCTTTGCTTCCTTCATAATCTTTACCAGGATGTGTTGGAGCTGGAGGCTGAGCGTGACCAAGCCCTGCCGAAAGAGGAGGAAGAAACAGATTACGCTCAACATGAGGATCCTCAAGTGTCCACATCTTTTCAAATTTCAGAGGAGAACATCCCTGAACTGTAAGCCTTGGCATATGCAAGAGGGAACATTTCATAATGTTTTGTGGAGGGGAGAATGGAACATAGCAGAGAACTTAGGGACAAGCCTGGAAGATTTAAAATCCATACATGTCTTAAACCATTGAGCACTCCTGTGCAGAAGTAACTACCTACACATTCCGGCAAGAATGCAGGGTAAGGACATTTCTAGGGATATAGGCAGAACCATGGGGTTCTCTTTGCAAACTTTTCTTTGGAGCCTGGAATTAATACATATCTCGTCACTCTCAGATAATTTTCTAGATGTGAATAGTATTATAATTATCATTTAAAATACATTGTTAAGCCCTTGTGAACGCTTTCTCTATTATATACCTCTCCTCCCCCACCAAGATGCCACCATCCTGAAATCAATACTTAACATTCATACCATGCAGGGAAATTAAAAATTTGTCTATATATATAATGTAAAATATGCTTTATTTTCTCCAGCCTTATAAAGATCTGTTAAAATTGATATCAAATAAATGCCCAAACTTCTTTCTTGAAGGCTAAGTGCCTACTTGGCTCATTTTGGTGACAGGAAACGAATAAGCAGACCAATTTTCTATTCAAAAGAAGAGGGTTTCAGTGGGCTCAAGTGGTAGAGCACTCTCTTAGCAAAGGAAGAGGGTTTTGGGCTATTCGAGATGTAAGATTTTTTGTCTTAATACTGATCATAACAATATTTCTGCAGGAGTCAGGAGAACATGTTCTTCCAGCTAGACCACTGGAATTCACAGATGGGTCAACAAGTGAAAGAACTTGGAGCTGATCACATAGACTGGATGGAGAAAATTAAAAATATTATACAAGAAATAAACCTAACAGAAAACACAGTGAAGAGGTAATTGTAGGGTGTTGGAGTTGGTTAGAAAATAGTGAAAAGTTTTATAGCTTCGGAAACTTAAGAAACTCTGGGTTTAAGGTTGTAAAGTCTTTAGGAAAGTCTTTAGGATAAGAAGAATAAAGTCTTATGATTACACGTCAATATCACAAAATCTCACAGCCTACATCAAAGTTATCTACATCTTTGCTCTCTCTTCTCTCAAGGGAAGGACTTCCTTCACAGGCTCTTTGAAGCTATGTTAATAGTTATCAAATGTCCCCAATGTTATCAAGTCCCCAATGATCCTTGAGTTTTTTCCAGTTTTGTCCAAAGGGATTCAACAAGTTTGACAAGAAAAAATATTGAAGTATATTTGTTAATGCATATCTGAATTTAAGTGGAAAGTTTTGAAATAAAACAGAACAGGTACAAGTAACTGTTATTTATCTGCTCACTGGTATAAAGAGAATGGGCTTTGGAGGCAGAGGGACCCAGGTTTGAATCCTGACACTGCCATTTTGTGGATAAGCTAATCAACCTTTTTTAAGACTTGACTTTCATCTTCTACAAAATGGGACTAATGATAGACCCCTCATTGGTTTATTGTGGGTACTAAATAAAATACTTTATATAAAGAATTTGATACAGTGCCTGGTACATAACAATTAATAAGTGGAAGCTATTCTTAGAAATAAATTCATCTGGCCTTCTGAACCATCCTACCCCATTCCAAACTCTTTCCTACTGTGGGGCTACTCCTCCTAGGTGTTTCTCACCTTTCAGTTAAAGATCTCCTCCACGTTCAGTAAAACATCATACCTTTCAGTTAAACAGTTAAACATCTCTTCACAACGGCCTTCTCCTGACCATCCTATCCAAAATGGCCCTTTTCTTCTTCCAAAGCATTAGTAATATTCAATTTTTAAAAGATTCTGTGGTTTTATTAATTCAAATCCTATGCATTAAATTTTCCTTCATTTTTAAACTTAAGGTATAGTTTACGCACAGTAAAATTGTGTTTTTTATTGTACAGTTCTGCCAGTTTTAAAAGATGCATATGGTGGTGCAGCCACCGCAGTGAAAATATAGAACACTTGCATCACTCCCCAAACCCCTCATGACCTTTTGTAGGGAACTGCTCTCCCCAGGCCAAACTGCTGGTGACCACTGATCTATCCCTACAGTTTTGGCTTTTCCAGAATGTCACATAAATGGAATCATATAGTATGTAGCCTTTTGAGTCCATCTTCTCTCACTTAGTGTAATGCATTTGAGATTCATCCGTGTTGTTGCATGCATCAGTAGTTTGTTCTTTTTTGTTGCTAGATAGTATTCCATTATATAAATATACCACAGTTTATCTAATTAAGGAACTAATTAAGGAACATTTAGGTTTTTTGGCAGTTGTGAATAAGGACACTATAAACATTCACACATGGGTTTTTATGTGAACATCCATTTTTATTTTCCTTGGGTAAACAACTAGGAGTGGTAATGCTGGATCATATAGTAAGTGTATGTTTATATTTATAAGAAACTGCCAAACTGTTTGAAAATGGCTATGCCATTTTGCATGCCTGCCAACAGTGTAGGAGAGTTCCAGTTGTTCTGTGTCCTCTCCAGCACTTGGTGTTATCACGTTCTTTTTTTTTTTTTTGAGGTATAATTGACATATAACATTATATTAGTTTCAAGTGTACAACATAATGATTCAATATTTGTATATGTTGAGAAATGGTCATCACAATAAGTCTAGTTAACATCGTCACCGTACATAGTTACAAAACCTTTTTTTCTTGCAATGAGATCTTTTAAGATCTACTCTCTTAGCAACTTTCAAATATGCAACACAGTATTATTAACTAATCATCATGCTGTACATTACATCTCCATGTTATTTTATAAGTGGAAGTTTGTTCTTTTTTCTTCACTGTAGCCATCCTAATAGGTATGTGGTAGTATTTCATTATGCTAATTTGCAATTAGCTAATAACTAATGATGTTGAGCATCTTTTTATTGCTTATTTGCCATATGTATATCTTCTTGGGTGAAATGTCTACATCTTTTGCCCATTTTTAAAAATGAATCGTTGGTTTATTATTACTTATTACTGAATTTTGAGGGTTCTTTATATATTCTGGATAAAAGTCCAGATATTCAATGTGATTTGCAAATACTTTCTCCCAGTTTATGGCTTGATTTTTCATACCCTTAACAGTGTCTTTCAAAGAGCAGAAGTTCTTAATTTTTATAAAGTCCAATTTATCGCCTTTTTTTCTCTTATGGATCATGATTTAGTGTTGTATGTGAGAAATATTTGCCTAACCACGGTCAGAAAGATTTTTCCTATTTTCTTCCAGAATTTTTATAGTTTTAGATTTTACATTTAGGTCTATGACTCATTTTGAGTTAATTTTTGTATACAGTGTGAGGTAGTGTCTCAGTCAGTTCAGGCTGCTATAACAGAATACTGTTGGGTATTGGGTTGCTTAAACAACAAAAATTTATTTCTCACAGTTCTGGAGGTTGGGAAGTCCTCCAGGGTGCCAGCATGATTGGGTTCCGGCAAGAGCCCCCTTCCTGGTTTGCAGATCGCTACCTTTTCGCTGTGTCTTCACATAGTGGAGAAAGAGAGCTCTAGTCTCTCTCTTCTTGTAAGGATACTATTCCCATCATGGGGGCTCCACCCTCGTGACTTCATCTAAACCTAATTGCATCCCAAAGACTTCACCTCCCAATACCGTCCCATTGTGGGTTAGGCTTTCACTATATGAATTCTGAGAAGACACAAACATGCAATCCATAACAAGTAGTGATCAAAGTTCCTTTTTTTAAAAAATTTTTTGCATATGTATATCCCAAGATTCCTTTCTTTTTTCTTTTTCTGGCATATGTATATTCAATTATTACAGCAACACTGGTTGAAAAGAGTTTACTTTCTCTATGGAATTACTTTGCACCATTGTTGAAAGTCAATGGGTCATATATGTGTGAGTCTATTTCTAGATTCTATATTCTGCTCCATTTATCTATATGCCTATCCTTTCACTAATACCACACTGCCTTGATTACTGTAGCTTTATGTTAAGTCTTGAAATTAGGTAGTGAGAGTTATTCAACTTCACTCTACTTTTTCAAAATTGTTTTGGCTATTCTAATTTTTTTTTGTTTTTCATGTAGATTTTAGAATAAGCTTGTCAGTCCTGCTGTGATTTTGCTTGGAACTACCATTAATCTATAGATAAATTTGGGAAGAATTAACATTTTAGCAATATTGACTCTTTCAATTCGTGAACACATTATATCTCTATATTTATTTAGGCCTTCTTTGATTCCTTCCATCAGTGTTGTATAGTGTTCAGTGTACAGATATTTCACATTTTGTTAGATTTATGCCTAAGTACTTCAAGCATTCATTCTATTGTAAATGGTATTTTAAGTTTTTCTATTTCTTTGGTTTTTTTTTTTTTTTTCTTCTTTTGGTGAGGAAGATTGTTCCTGAGCAAACATCTGTGCCAATCTTCCTCTACTTTGTATGTGGGACGCCACCACAGCATGGTTTGATGAGCAGTGTGTAGGTCCGCACCCAGGATCTGAACCTGTGAACCCCAAGCCACCAAAGCAGAGTGTGTGAACTTAACCACTACACCACCAGGCCAACCCTCAATTTCTAATTGTTAATTGTTAGTAAACAGAAATACAATTGATTTTTGCATATTGACCTTGTGTCTTGTGACCTTGCTAAACTCATTTATTAGTTCTAGTAGTTTTTGCAGGTTCTTTGGGATTTTCCACATATATAATCATGTCATCTGCAAATAGACAGCTTTATATCTTCCATTCCCATCTTCATGCTTTTATTACCTTTTGTTGCCTTATTGTATCGGCTATAACCTCTAGTATGATGCTGAATAGGAAGGGTGACAGCAGGCAGCAGACATACTTACCTTGTTCTCAATTCTACAGTAAAAGAGTTAAGTGTGATGTTAGCTGTTTTGTTTTTTAAAGATGCTCTTTCTCAGATTGAGAAATATGAGATTTTTACTCTTAGTTTACTGAGGAATAGGAACTTCTATTCCTAGTTTACTGAGATGATTTTAAAATCAGGAATGATACTGAATTTTTTCAATAGCTTTTGCTGCATCTATGAATGATCATGTTTCTTTGTTTATAGTCTCTTGATACTGTGAATTATAGTGACTGATTTTTGAATGCTGAGCCAGCCTTGAATTTCCAGAATAAACTCCACTTAGTCATAATATATTATCCTTTCTACATATCGTTGGATTCAGTTATCAAAGTGGAATTTTTACATGTATGTTAATGAGAGATATTAGTCTGTGTTTTTCTTTCTTGTAATGTCTAGTTTTAGTATCAGAATAATACTTGCCTCAAAGAAAAAATTGGGATGTTTTCCCACCTGTTCTATTTTCTGGATGAGTTTGTGTAGAACTGGCATAATTTCTTCCTTAAATGTTTGGTTAATTCACCAGTGAAGCCATATTGCCTGGAGATTTTGTTGTGGTAAGATTTTTAATTTAATTTCTTTAATGATGATAGGGCTACTCAGGCTAGCTAGCTCTTGAGTATGCTTTAGTGATAGACTGTATCTTTCAAGGAATTTGCCCTTTCCATGTAAATTGTCAAATTTATTGTCTTAATATTTATTATTTATTAATATTTTCTTATTATATTTTTTATTTTGAAATAATTATAGATTCACAGGAGGTTTCAAAGAAATATACAGGATAGTCCCCTGCACCCTTCTCTGAGCCTTTCCAAATGGTAACATCTTGTCCAACTCGAGTACACCATCAAAACCAAAAAAATTGACATTGGCACTATCAACAGAGCTTATTCAGACTTTACCAGTTATATGTGCACTCATTTGTATGTGCGTGTTTATAGTTCTATGCAATTTTATCATATGTGTAGCCTTGCATAACCACTACCACAATCAAGATTCTCAACTGTATCATTGCACACAACTCCTTTGTGTTACCCTTATATAGCCACAACCATTCCATCCCACCCATCTCTAAACGCTGGCAATGACAAATCTGTTCCACATGTCTATAATTTTGTTATTTCATGAATGTTACATAAATCAAATCCTGTAGCATGTATCCTTCTGAGATTGGCTTTTTCACTCCGTATAATTTACTTGAGGTTTATCCAAGTTGTTGCATGTGTTAATAGTTCCTTCCTTTTCATTGCTGAGTAGTATTCCATGGTATCGAAAAAGAGAGAGAGAGAGACAGAAAGATAGTTTGGTTCACCATTCACTCACCAAAGGACTATTGTGTAATTCCTAGTTTTTGGCTATTATGAATAAAGCTACTTTGAACATTCATGTACAACTTCCTGTGTGAAAATAAGTCTTTATCTCTCTGGGATAATTGCTCAAGAGCGAAATTACTGAGTCATGTGGTAAGTCCCTTTTTAGTTTTGAGGGGAACTGTCAAAATATTTTCCAGAGTGACTGTACCATTTTACATTCCCACCGCCAATGTATGAGTGATCCAGTTTCTCCACATCCTCACTCGCGTTGGTGTTATCACTATGTTTTATCTTAGCCATTCTGATAAGTTTGTAGTGCTAGCTCATTGCATCTTTAATTTGCATTTCTCTAATGGCTAATGGTGTTGAACATCATTTCCCGTGTTTATTTGCCATCTATATATCTTCTTGGTGAAATGTCTGTGCATGTCTTCTGTTCGTTTTCTAATTAGATAATTTTTTTTTTAATGTTGAGTTTTGAGAGGTTTACATATATTCTACATATAAGACATTTGCCAGATATGTGACATGCAAATCCATTTAACAGTCTTTGGCCAGGCAAAAGTTTTAAGTTTTGATGAGGCCCAGTTTATCAATGTTCCCTCTTATGGGTAGTGCTATTGGTGTCTAAGAACTCTTTTCCTAGTCCTAGGTCCCAAAGATTTTCTGTGTGTTTTTCTAAAAATTTAATTAAGCTTCCATTTTAATCATTTTAATTTTCTGCTCCTGTATCCAGTTAGGCCTTTACTATTATCTAGATAATTTAGAGTGTTTTTTACTTTCTTGAATTGTATTTATGACCTTCCATTTCAACACAATCATTACCCAAGAGTCCTCTTATATAGGCATAGGATTTCATTTTTGAAAGATCAAAAATGATTTTTCAAAAGATTGGCCATTGGGTGATTTTTCTTAATCCACAGGACTTAGTCCCTCTCTTGGTATATTTACAGCTTAATAAATGAGGTGATGTCCCTGGAGGGCCAAATTGAAAAGCTGGAGTCACATCAGGACCTTGACCCTGAGCAGGGGGCAAACATCGAGGTAAGCTGGAGGCTTGGGAAAGACAATCTGGGAGATTGTGGGGACTCTGCCACCTCTTCCCACCCCTTCTGTTATTTAACAGGTCATAACACGAGTTAACACCCATCTTCTGTTGCAAGGAGAAGTGCTCTCTGGTGGTCAGTTCTGAGTACCTTTCGCCTGAGTACCACCACTTCTATTCTCTGACAGCACAAGAAGGCGAGACTTTTCTATTCTACCTAGAAACTCAGTTGGACACATTTGATAGGCTTGTATCTTGATGCCACCTTAAGATAATGATGAGTACATTATGGGAAAACTTCCCTTCTTAATCTTTGTATCCTAGCACAGAGAAGACATCCAGCAAATAAATATTAGTGAAGAACTGCATCCTTAGAATGTAAGACACATATTTGTGTTTGTCTTTGACGGCTTCATGAAGAGTTCCTGTGTTGCTTTTCACAATCTCCAGTTATCCTGTTGTTCTGTCTCCTTGCATTTCTTAGAGACTCTTTTCAGAGAAAGGTTTAATTTTCTCTTTTTTTAAAGACTCAGAATGTTAGAGTTGAAAAGTAGTGACCAACTTTGGACCAGAATCAGACTTCAGAGCCCTGGCTGACAGTTGTTCTGCTCACTGTAACTTCAAACCTTTGAAGAAAAGACTCTAAAAAAAGGAAAAAGTCTGTGTCTATCTACTTCTTTTCATTGAAATTGCCAGCCTCTGCTTTAGCTCAAGCCAAAGAGTTAAAAATTTTTTTTATTGTGAAATTTTTGTTGTACATTATTGTTTATCAGTCACCATATAAGTGCATCCCTCCACCCCTTGTGCCCACTCCCCACCCCCCTGACCCCTGGTAACCACTAAACAGTTCTGTCTGTCCATGTGTTGGTTTATCTTCCACATATGAGTGAAATCATGCACTGTTTGTCTTTCTCTTTCTGGCTTATTTCACTTAACATAATACCCTCCAGGTCCATCCGTGTTGTTACAAATGGGACGCTTTTGTCTTTTTTTA